AGGCGCTAAGTCGGCATACGCTCTATTCACCTCGACAATCAAGGTCGGCGACCATTATAACTGCGTTTCTTAAACGTACAATTAAATCGTATCTCAAGAATGAGACGTTATTCTCAGAACTACAGCTGCCATCTCGCGGGGAAAAATGCCTTTCGCATTCCAATATGATATTTCTTGAAAGCTAGCAATTTTCGGGGCGGGGCGGAAAGACGGCTGTTTCTCCAAATATCGCTTTGCAGCGCTCCTATTCATCCGATTTGCATGATTGGCACGGCGTTGGATTCAGAGAGCCCGTCGTCATCGCGCTATGAGCACGCCCCGAATTTCCTTCTGGAACTATGAGAGCAATTTGAAAACTTTTTTTGAAAGCTTTTTTGGTAAAAGGGCTTCGTAGCGTTAATTCTATTTTAAAAAGGGGTCAAATGTCGTTTACAAATCAAAAATAGGACAATTGGTACAGACGTTATCGGGAAAGTAAATCCTATGTGATAATGCTGCGATCTATTGAATTTTCTTACAAGTATTTGTCGGTACATTTAGATTCAAGAGCTATGGACATTGGCTGGAAGCCAATAGAATAGCAATTCATTGTCGTTCTGTTTAAAAAAGTATATTATGAGTAATGCATATTTGAATTCATTTTGGATTATTCATAATGTTTTGTTATTTACCTTGGTAAACACACACTTAGTCCCTTAGCAACCAACCATCTAAACAACGATTAAAGCATGTCCAACCATTAAAATGTTAGAGTCTATTTAAAAAAATTTAGCCGACTTTTGGGTTTAGATTTTATCAGTGTTTATAAATCTTGGAATAAATATGACGTTGACACAAAACACAATTTTGGGGAATAAATGTAAACGTTTTTTACAATTATTATGGTACAGATATATTGAAAGTAGTATGCTAGTAATCTCTTCGTTAAATGCCTCGAACATTCATTTACGTTCGCTAATCACGAAATATATCATAAGAGTTCTCATAAGTGGTTACAGATTTAGAAGGCATCATAGTACAGCTTGCACCTGCTTTCCAAAATATCATCTGTCGCGAAAATATCTTCTGATATTTAGAAATTCACGGACATTTTTTCTCAAAAAGCTTGCATTAGCAAAAAAATATTCAACTGTTTGATCACAAAGCATCCAGTTCCACCAATCTTGGCTACAGAAAATCGAGAGTAACGACAACTGAATAATGAACTGAGTAATGAACAATTTAGTACTAAGTAATGAACTCATGAAAGTGTTAAAAAATTAATGATGTCGTAGGCTTCCGCGGTCAGAGTCATGATCTGGGCCGTCTGGGTGACGCCGCGTTTCTACCGACATATCGCGGTCCCCTTCAGGCTAGCGCAGTACAGCCCTGAAGAGGACCGCGATATGTCGGTCGAAACGTCGTCACCTCAGCCATTGACGCGGCGTCACCCGGGCAGCCCAGATCGTGTTAAAAGTTTATTTTGAATAAGCGATCAACTAGAAGTAACAAAAAAACATTGTATATAATTCGTCCTCTATTTGTCTTTAAGAAATCATTTAAAGAACTCGTGGCATAAATAATTATAGAGTAAACTGAGTCTTAACTGACGTTTGATAGAAAGAAAAAAGGCAAATACAATCGCCTTTATCAATCAACCGCATCAATCACCGCAAATACAATCGCCAATATAGTTCTCTATAGTGAACGTAGAAAATGCAACATCCTGGGAATTAATTCCTTCCTGAAAAATGTTACCTCCGTGCCACTAGGTTGCTTGAAAACGTCGGCCAAAGGTCATCATCGAAGAAGACTCCCCTGAGGTGAAAGTAGTGGACAAGGAATGGAGACAGCTTTGATGACCTAGTGCCACTTAATTTCTCTGCGGAAACAAATTCCGTGTCCTGCGTGGGCTACAACTTGCGACGCGCGACTGCTTGCTCCAGTTTCAAACTTGATGTTACTTGAGATTCCGCGCGACAAAGTGTTTGGTGCCCGACGTAGGTGACAGGACGCGCGCGACTTCCTCAGCCCACAGGCACTGGAGAAGGATCTAGGGAAATTAAGTCATGAAAAATGTACGCACCAAACAATTGAAAATAATTTATTTTTTAAGGTCAAATTAAGATCGTGACGTTTTCACTTCGGGCTGTTAATGTATTTTACTTAATCTCTATACTAATAAAATCAATAATTGTGGGGACATTTGTTTTAATATCATAGGGACATATTTAATTTTTATATTATCGGATCTAGGGAACCTCTTACCGGAGTCCACTGTGTAAATATAATTACTTTTCATACGTATTCCTTTAGATGTTGAGATGTACAGTTGGATAAAATGAGTTTAGGAATACGACACAGTTTTAAAACATGGTTTTAAAAGTGTGTCAAACAATCATTTAACTCTGATTAAATGGTTGCGTAAAAAATAGAATGATCAAAGGCCATCTGTTAGGGGACGTCTAAAGCCAAAAGAAAACTCTAACAAAGTTAAACAGAAAGTATTCCCTAGCACAGACTACATTGAGTACATGCTTCTATTCTCAGTACGAGATTTTGGCGATCCGCTTTTATGAATACGTTCTAAAGTGTGTTTCAGAAACCTGCCAAACACCAAAATTCCTCATTTCGAAAAAACTGAGAAAAAGTTTCCCAATTAACTGATTTTAAAATATTTTAATTTATTAAAGCAGTTGATAAATAAATATTATTCATATAAATATGCACTAAGCTATGTGTCTATTCTCTTGGAACAATAATTCACCACTAATGCGTGTTTGAGATTTCGGCGTTTGATGTGTTTATGAAATAAACAATTCGATCGGAGCCACTTCATTTCCACTCGTTCCCAGTAATACTTTCCAATAAACACATGTTCCCCGCCGAGATAATAAGGTTCCGTTCTCCCATGTGGTTCCCAGGAGCCGGACGGGCGCTGGGCGCTGCAGGGCGTCACCAGCAACGGCTACGGCTGCGCGCGGGCGAACCGGCCGGGAGTGTACACCAAGGTGGCCAACTACGTGCCGTGGATCCGGGCGGCGCTGGCGGGTGAGGCGGGGGCGGGGCCAGGCCGCGCCGACACGTGCCGCGGCCACCGTTGCCCCCTTGGGGAGTGCCTGCCGCCGTCGCGCGTGTGCAACGGCTTCATGGAGTGCAGCGATGGCAGCGACGAGCGGGGCTGCTGGGGCCGCGGCGCGCCCTGACCTGACCTGACCTGACCTCGCCCTCAGGGCTCCTGCACACGAACGAGCTACGCGCTCGCGGACCTGCCTAGGGCCGAAGACAAATTCTCCGCTTTGATCCTACACGTACGGGCAATGAAGCGGGCTTGCCCGTGGGTGCCTTACTGAAGAGTGCTCCCCGTCCGACGTCAAGCAGGCGTTAGCTCGGAGCAACACCAATGTCGCGCCACGCACTCGTTGGTTGTGCTTTAACCATTTTATTGGGACCGGCAACTCAGTTGGACGTTTTTTCAGATGTTTGCGTTCAAAACAAGCTTGAGGCGAGGAAGCCTTGAAACCGGCGCGTTTCACTTCGAATTCCCGTCGCTTGTCAACGGCAACTGTAATTTTGCTTGCTTGCGAGTGCAGTGATTGTATGTGTGAAATGAAACTCAAAACAGATGATAATTACGTGCTCTCGTACTATTTTGGTTTGTTTTACATTGGGGGGGGGGGTGAACGAGACATACATGTTCAGTGAATGCAGTAATGCATTAAAAATGCTCGCTTTCTGTAAATGCGAGTGGACTAAATAAACAGCTTTTTTCATGTTGTACAACATTAACAAGCTATTTACTATCACAAGAGAGTGATCGTCAATAATTCCCAGATAATTTGTTTTCGACACAATGTTGTTTACACGTTTGTATTCGATCTAAATATCTATGCTACATCGAATATTACTACCTTACATTCTTTAATTTTGGAATATACTAAGTGTAATATCACTGTCTACGAAGGTAAGTTCCACGTATATGTTGATATACTATTCATATTTTTAATCCATCTCATTTTCATCGTTAACTTACATCTCGTCGAAAGAAAACATAGCAAATGACTATACGTAGATATTGTGGTAGTAAATATCAATATCAGAAACTAATAGTATGCATTACAGAATAGGTAGATTATCAATATCAGACCCGTGTCAGCAACCTTTAGCGGCCAAAATCAGACGATTCAATGGCCTCATCCTTGCTTTAATTCATGGGAACAAAATGATTCCAATTGAATCGTTCTAATAGTGCTTGTAAATACGTCAAAGAGCACTCATAGAAAAACATTTTTTAAAAGGTGTACTTGAAGCTGCTAATTTCAAATCGACAATAAGTTGTCATTTCTATCGTACCTCACGAGTTACGTTATACACACGCTTTTTCGACCTTCCTTTCGTGATATTTTAACATTCCGATAATGGCCATTTTTATTTGAAAGTTACATTACAAACGTGCCTTGTTCATTTACTACGCTTATATACCTCCCAGAAAATATGTTGATAAAATGGTATTTATCAGTTAATTTGACACCTCTTGGACAACTTATTTCGCTATACTTGTATTACTTGAAGAGAAATCTCGCAAGGTCAATCGTGCCGCATCAGTCGAAAACAACATTCCACTACATTCGCCATTGGGAGATTAAACCCTTCTAGGTATCAAAGTAGCAAACAAACTTTTCAATTTCTCGAAGTAACCTTTTACAAAAATATTACTTATTGAATGAAAAAATTGCAATTTCGGTAAGTAATGACTTCCCCGCAAAACTTCGGCCTAATTATCACAAAAATACATACCGTATTTGTAATACTTTAGTTTTCGGGCGTTATAATTAATAGTACATCTCCCATTCACCGAATAACACACGTTCACCTATCTTTATTTTATTTTAAAAAGTGCTTCATTCTACACACGCATGTCCAAGGATCGAAACCTTCAAAACAATGAATGTCACGCATTTGAACAAAATATCGAAGAAAGTACGGTACCACCCAATTGCAACATCAAACACTTCTCTTACCTGGCACTGAAGTGGTGCTACTTCCTTTCAATTGAATCATTCCTAGGGAATGGAGCATACCATGACAGCCATCTCATGCCGTCAAGTCGCCACTTCGACACGTGTACTTCAACAGCGGAGCCGCAAGGGCTCAAAGGGCAGCTGACAAGCGACTTGCGCCGGGGTTGTGATTCTGACGATCGCTACCCCAGGCGCGACCGACAGGGGAATGGTTCGGGTCGGGGATGGGATGAAATTGTCAGAGGTGACTTTGTGAAACTGTATGCAACTTTGATAATAAAAACCATACTAGTATACGGTGCTTTTTAATGTACATTTTCCCTATTATTCTCTAAGGATAACGTAGGAAGGAAATAAAACAAACTCTGAATTAATAATAAAAAATTATTATTGTAGAATAACATGTAAATACAAATTATACAAGATCTTTGTCCTTTAAACAAGACAATACGTACATTTGTTTCTGTTTCATTGTCAAGTAATGCACAGTTGACATGAAAAAAAGGACATAAGAATAAGGTTTGTGCTTAATTGTTTAAAAATGACTGCCTATAGTTCATGTTCTGATTTATGAGGCATTGACCGGCTGCTGTATTGCACATCCTCTGTATCTCCAACCTCTGGTTTTTTCTAATGCCAATACACAAGATAAGACATTCCATTACAAATCTAGTAGAGCACTTCAAATATTCATCACTGGAAAAAACGCCCCTTTCGTAAAAAGAGGAAAATGGTAGCTTGAATTGCTCCTTCCCTGAGACCCGCTCACCAGAGGCTGTCACAGACATGTGCCTAGTACATGCTGGGAGTTGAATAGCATCAACATAACCTGTTTTTCAAAACAGTGAAGGTTCTGTACAATACAAACAACAAAATGCTAACAATTGCATTTTGTCAACAAATGAGCAAGTCACTGCTGGAAAACATGTTGAATATTTAAAAAAATAAATAAATAAAAATTACAATACATGTACAAAATGAACATAGACTTATTAGGCAAAAGATAACTCAACATCTGGTCTCGTGTCGTACCAACATATTTAGTACATATCCTGCCATTACCTCAAACGAACAGCAACATCTCTAGCAATGATACTTTTCCACTGCCAGTGTCAAAACACAGCTAGCCCTGAAAACCTTGTCCTCTCAAGATGGGGTTAATATCCACATTCTCAGAAACCAAAGTTTTGTTGAGTTATGAAAGTAAAGGCACAGTTTCAAAGAACATTACACAGCCTTTCTATTTGGGAAGTCACTGGTCATTTCACAGAGAAGGTTAATCCTGGTGTATGATAACCACAGAACATTGTTAAATGAAACAATGAAGTGCATTAAAAAAATTAGAGTTCCCATACAATCGGTATTTACAACATGAACAAGCATTTGCTTGTGTACTAAGCTATGTAAAACTATACCAGATATTGTACAAATAAACAAAGAAATTACAACAAAGATGTTTACAACAATGGGGCATTAGTATTTTAATTTTCAAAACAACAGAAAATAACAAATCTTTGGTTCTAAGATTATCTAGCACTCCACATGCACCTGTACAAAGTGATGAGAGATACAGAGGCACAGTGCAGTTACTGTAAGTCGGTAACAATTATTTTGTATTGCTTGAGCTGTCTGGGCCAAATAGTTGAGTAGTTGGAATGCCGAACTTTATCCATCAGAAAATATATCGGATCATAGCAAGCACAAAAGTAAACTTTGTCAGGACAGTAGAAGTGTTGACGATACAAAGAAGGGAATATAAACCAGCCAATAACATCTAGAAATTCTCTACACAATATGAATTTATTATACAATCATTTATTCAAAATATTGTTATGCTGTAGAGCTGTGGGTAATGGAAGGGGCTGACCCGCGGCCCGCCTGCAGACTGCGTGGCAGCACCATAAATGAAATTTACCGAGGTATAATAAAAGATGGGAATAAACATTTATGGAGAGAGGATTCTCTACAAGCTTGTGTGTACTGGTGAGCTAAATGTATTTGTTCCTGCCTACAAAAGGAGCCAAAAATTTCATATCTGCCACACAGCTTCCAATCCCTGGCCCGTAACCCAAATGAAACAAACAGGAAGAGACATTAGAAAATGAAGCACTTCCTCAAACTAAAGCTGTCAGTCTTTTTAGTATAAACTTCTCACACACATGGTACACTGAGCTTCAGAATTCTTTACAGATGTAACAAATGTATTTATATCCACAATGCTATTTTATATACATGGCCAAAGTGTATGTATATATAAAGCAGAAAATAGGGAAGCAGGGAGGCAAAGGAAGTTTACATATTTACAAACAGCTTGACTGTGGAGATAACCTAAGAAGGGCATCCTGCCCTAAAAGGTGACACCACATTCAGAGTTGGGAGATAGGGCAATGCAGGTCCGGGTTTAGGTAACACAGGGCAGACACGAGCTACACAACACCACACATTTATGCTTCTGACACATGACTGACTTTGTGCAGAATGAAAAAGAAAATACAAAATATATTATTTTTTCTTGGTTTAGTGACCCACCGGGTATACTGTTATACATTTTATCTACTGTCATAAATGCAAAATTATATCAAAGAAACCTCTCTTCAACATGCTTCACAACCTGACAGTTCCACTGACAGACACACACAGGCCTCTATGCAAACACAAAATCTACTGCAATCAATTCCTTATGCAGCCCACAGATGGTGCACCAGTAATTATATGCATGGCGCACAGGCTTCCATTCTCACACGTCAGCTTGCCAGATGATCAGATGTTAAAAATGCAATTGATTTCAGGACCCTCTGACAAATCAACTCACTCTGCATTAAAAAAGCCTTTTAGTGCCATTGGCCTGCACCCTGGCCTGCCTCGCCCATTTACTCACACACAATGTATACTTCTGTATGAAGAATATGGGGTTGATGCAATTGTAGACACCTGACTCAGGCATCTGTCTCCCCCTTGAGCCGAAGCCTTGCAAAGTCTTCAAAAATAATGTCATCGTCCTGATCTGGTAAGATGCCATCTCTGAAAAACATTTCAATACAACATTCAAATTCATTGTAAAACATGGCCAAAATATAAATTATTTAAAATACTAGTTTCCAAATGGAACATGCAAAGGAAAAATACAAACTACAGAATTTTTGTCAAAAATGTTGCAATAATGTTTGTGCAATAATACAGAGTTCAGGAGGGCACACAGCAGCACTCCGTGCTACCTTTGTGCTTTTGTTGTACCCAAAGGGAGTACAGCGATTTGACATGTTCGGGGGCTTCAATATTCTCACTTGGCAACATTCTAAACGAAACATGGGAATTTCCGTTCCTTTCCCTTCTCCTATCCATCATAAAGAAGATTTGAAGATACCAAGTTCTGATTGCAGCATTCTATGCTCTACCGCACCCACTCATTTAAGAATTTTTAGTATTCCAGACAAACATTTAACTTATTCAGATTGTTTGTCTACATGTATTTTTGATCACTGTAAGTAAAACCAAAGATGTTCTTTTTTTATCAATTTTGTTTCTCTTTGCTGAAGGGCTGAAACTTTTGAACAGAAGAAGAAATCAGGCATCTTCTTGAGTTACTGGAAACTGCTTGATGAAAACTAATTGATGCTTTTCTAAAATTTGAGGACAGTAGACTGTTCCATATAATTAGTTTGTCTATTTAATAATAATTTTCTAGTTATTTTTTTTACTTTTTTTGTTATATTTTGTTTTACAAGGTTTTCTGAAAGAATGTATTATAGATTATTCTATGCCCTAAAATTAGCCACATTTCAGTGATTTGTTAAATGTTTTAACACTCAAAATTTAATGATTAACAATTGTGAGTTTTTATTCTTCCAACTTCAATTAACAGCAGTAGTTTTGAGGGTGAAAAAGACTTTCTCAAGTCAGTATGCAGAGCTCCTACATGCCCACTTTTGCAAGTATCAAATGCACACCCACTGGAAGGTTAAACAGAAAATTTGAGAAAATTCTTCCCTCATATTACATGCATCTTTTTTAATCTTTTATGAAATATAGATCATTAAAACAATACATTAATAAAAAAACAACATAGGTAAACCAATATGTTCAAATTACAAGTAATTCCAAGAAATGCAGGTAAATAAATATAAATTAACTTTTTGATTAAGAAATAGCTCTTAAACAAATCAATAACTAGTGGTGCTACAGAATGGCACAGACTTTCCTGTATTAGTTTTCCCTTTCCTTGGGTCTCCGCTAGCTATACGAAATTGCCACAGTCTCTTGCCAGCTGTCATCTATCATCGCCCAAAATGATGAAATTACGAACAACAAATATCATTTGAAGGAAATATTTCTATCCAAAACGTCCGTCTTTTTGTAGTTGTAGGAAAACGCTGGAAATTATTAGAACTCTTGATATTTTTTAAAAAAAAATCAGAGTTTACTCTTTAAAGAAACTCAAAGGAAATATTCAGAGCCCTTTTTGAGAAAATTTTGAACATGTCCAAGGGGATTAATGCAAAGTAACCCCAAATTTTAAAGTATGTTTTTCCAAATCCCAATGCTTCAACTTGAGCTAGATCTCCAAGGGTTTCATTAATTTCAAAAAAATTCTACGTATGGTTTAGGTGCCTGTGGTGTTCATGGACAGAGGTTTTGGAGAGAAAGAGAAAGAAGAGAAAAAAGAAGAAAAAGAAGAAGAAAAATAACCACTTTTTTGATATCAGGGGATACCAAAACGTGTATTTCTATTGAAATCTTGAAATCGATTTTTCGCAGTTTTACATAACTTTTCCTATATGTACGTATCCATATATATATATATATATATATATATCTATACATATATCTATATCTATATCTATACATATATCTATATCTATATCTATACATATATCTATATCTATATCTATATCTATATCTATATCTATATCTATATCTATATCTATTATACTATTCTCATATCTATTATATCTTATATATCTATATCTATATATATCTAATATCTATATCTATATATATCTATATCTATATATATAATATATATCTATATCTATATCTATATAATATCTATATCTAATATCTATATATATCTATATCTATATCTATATATATCTATATCATTATATATTATATATATTATATCTATATTATATATATATATATATATATATATATATATATATATATATATATATATATAATATATATATATATATATATATATATACACGAGAACGTAAAAATTATGAAGTACCATATAAGTGTTAACATCTTTTTGGACACCCCTGTTCATTACTGTCTTTTCCATTTTTATACCGGAAGTATATGGTAAATGATGAAATCTCACTCAACAACTAGAACTTTCCTTTGTTTTGGTTTGGTTTTGTTCGAACCTTGCAAGAAAAGCTTTGAACTTTTCTTTAAGTCATCAAATCTTTTCAGCGTCATGCTCGAGCTATAAGCAACATAGATATTAACTCCTCTGGCCAAGAGAACAGTATTAACATGAATGACAACAGAATCTAAACCCAGCACCACAATATGCTGTACCAGTTAATAGCAGCACTATCGCATCTCATGGAGTAAAGAACATTTCAAAGAGAACTGTCGATCTATGGATTTTGGCGGTTGTTAGGAGTGATAGTTAAATGTTTTATCTATACAAAAACGATTTATTTATACAAATGTTATGATGTCGGCGACCCAAATAAGTTGAAAAAGCGCAGAATCCTTCGCACATCATACGTCTAGGTGGCATTTAAAAGTAATACCCCCTTTCAATAAAAAACATTTTGCCCTTGTAAAATCAACCAGAACTATTTTTTTTACATCAAAAAGGGGAATGTCTAGGGGGGGGGGGGGAGGACGTACTAACTAACCAAAACAGGTTGTCTAATTTAGCTTTTCTATAAATTGAGAAGTCGTTTATAAATGAACAGTCCAACAGAACAAATTTTTATGATAAAGTTATTGATGAATTCGCGAAACCAGAGAGAATTGCATTTCACCCCAACTAAGTGGAAAGTACAAGAATGAAAGTTAAGAATTTGATAGTTATTATGTAATTGTATGGTGTATGCTGCATGATAATATTCTTTCAGTTAATGAGTATACAATGTATTAAACTGGATTGTGAGATCAAAGTGGTATTTTTAAAACAATTCTGAAATTTATTATATCTTTACGCTTTATGTTATTCTATTGCTTCCCTAACCGTGGAAGTCACGACACGCCCCTGATAGGAGGAAAGTCCCTTTAGCTAGCCAAGACTAAAGGGAATAGAAAAGTAATATGGAAAAGAGTGTGTCATTCTGTAGCACCACTAGTTTCTTAATTTAGCAACTGGATTTATCCACATTTTGGTTATCACGGCCTGGCAATGAATTTTTTTCTGTTGAAAATTCGAGGTTTTTGCACAGCATTACATAACTTTCTCTATATTACGTATTTTTTTTCTCCATATATCTGTACATATATGAGAAAGTGAAAATGAAAATTAGCAACATCATATTTAATGATTGGGATTAATTCAAACAGATAAAGATAATAATTACAACAAAAGAAAACTAAATTCTAAAAATAAATCCACAAGAAGAGAAAGAAAAGGAAAAATAAAACTTTAAAGCCACGTAAACAATTTCAAAAACAAATTTCCCGTGGAAAAATGTCTATGACCATGCCCTTATATATTATTTCTGTTCAATTACTAGCACTAATACTAACGTATCCAGTTGAATGAGATTGGTGTCCACAGCCACATCATCAGCCCCACCTGAGGGAGCATGGGATGGCGATGGCCGAGCTGTAGGTGGTAGAGGAGGTTCCTCTTCTGGCTTAGGGTGCATCAATATGAAAGGTAGCTCTGCTGCTAAATCTCTGAAAAAAGTAATAGAAGAAATTCTTGGTATTTATCATAGGGGTTGTCCAAAAAATACATACCACTATAGAGAGGGGGAGGGGGTTCGAGTGTATAATATTTTAATCTATCTCTAGCAAGTATTGTACTATAGTTCCCTAGGCCAAAGACTCCCATCTCTATCAGGTTTTTGTTTCCCTGGTCCCTTGAACAAATGCTGAGATAGCCCCTTATTTTGCATCTGAATAGTAATGTAACTCTCTCCAACTAAGACATCATATTGACTCATCATACACAATTGTAATTGTATATGTGACTATCATTATCATTATTATTATAAACGTTAAATGCAGGGAAATATTAAATCAAGGTCACATTAAATCGAGGTTCTACTGTACTATGAACAGAAATATATGAAGCATTTTGTTAAAGAAACTAATTACTGCATTGAACTTACCCACCGAGGGCTCCTAAACATAATTTCACTTTTACTTTATACTGTACTATTATTCCCAAGTTCTCTCTTTGTGATGGGTCAGCAACTCTGGGAAAAGAAAAGAAATTTTGTTAACAATTTATCAAATAGCATTTCAAACTTTTACAGACGTGAACAAGTAAGTTTATGCAGTTCTTCATTTATTAAGAAAATTTCTAAGATTATTTTTGTAATGAGTAATGACCCTCTTTCAAGTTCTGTATTTTCTCTCACAACTATGATAAATGCATGCAATCAGGGATGCAGATGAATGCACAATTTTCTACATATAAGATTTTATTTTTATTGGAAGAGCAACTTCTAGAGATATGAAAATATCATTTTTTACTTCAATGCTATTTTAACAATACTTTCTCCATTACTAAAACATTTAAGAACTTGTCTTGTTAACCAATCTTCATAAGCCTACGACTTCATGTCTTGTGAACAGAAGAGCATGCTATTCTAATTACCTTTGCAAATAGAGGAAATACAGAATGTTTCAAAGTAAATAATACAAACTTGTAGGGTATATAGACTGATAGAAAATTATACCCTGCAAGTTTGTAACCTTTATTTAGAGACACACAGTTAAACTCCTACTGGATGCAAAATATGCAATGAATGCAAAGAATGACATAATATACCATGCACAACTAAGCACCAATTATTGATTCCAAAAATTTAACAACAATAACAGTTCTCTATTCAGAAATCCTACATAACATACTACTTTCTTTTGACAGCAGATATATTTTTAATTTTAAAGAGTAATAACATATTTTCTTCAAATAGATTTTAACAATTCATTTCTTTTTCTTTCATATTTAAAATTGTTTAAAAAAGTTATATTGAAAATAGTTCTGATTTAAGCACAGTGAATATGAACAAAGAATTGGTTTCCAATTTTGGCTGTAAGGCATGCTATATGCAACTCAGTATGTACATAATAATGATTGTATACATCTAATTCAATACTGAAGATATAGAAACAACAGAACATACAATAGAGGGAGAAACATATTGGTAACAATAGTCATGCCATTTAAAATTAACATGCATTTTTATATTACACATAGGGAATATTATACATAATGAAGCATCTTTGAGAGAGCATTTTAATGGGTTTCAAGTCATGCAGCTACTAGAATTGGCAGAAAATGGAAACGTATCCAGAAAGTAGAGAATGTGTCCCAGAGAGAGAGAGAGAGAGAAAGAAAGAGAGAGAGATATGTACAATAAAATCACAATTATAAATGAAGAAAAGAAGATCTAAATGGGAAATAAACACAATTGCTAGACGAGAGCGTTTCACAATTGCAAGCACTTGCAGAGAAGCAACGCTTGCTGGCCCCACTGCTGTCTGAGTCCTATGACATGCTGGTCCCACAAAATTATAGAACACACACAGAAAAAAGGGCAATGATTTTAAAGAATGGACTGTTTTATTCATTCAGAATTACTCTTGTTGCAAAAATATTAAAAATTATAACATAGACTTGCCTACAAAGCAATTTCAGGCAAGTAATAATTCTTATAGGGTAAAAAAATTAAATTAATTTCATTATGTTAGTCTCTCTTAACACCTCTTCTCCATGAAGGTGTATAGGGATTTTCCCAACAATCCTAGATGACATCTCAGAATAAAATCCATTCATTGGGCCTCAAGCAAATAGCCAAGATGATCCCTCAGATGTATAGCATGGCCCAGGCAACGTCCAATGCAGCCACGCAAGCATGGCAGACAAGACAGGAGACACATAGACGTGGCCCAGACTTACAACGTGCTGGAGGCGAGGTTTGTGTCCTCGTGCTTCAGTTGCCCATCCAGGGCAAGTCCCCATTTGTCCTTGTTATTGGCCAACAAGGGTGTCATGACAAACACTTTGCTCAGGGTGAATCCAGGCCCGATGGGACAGCCCTCTCTGGCACACAAAAAAGCACAGGGTGAGACACACACCCCCTGCAATGCAACTTGACATGAGGCACCAGTCTGGGACAACTCTGCTTCGACGTGGGCTCACACCGGATAGGATGCTACTGTTCTTTACCTTCCACCACACACCCACACACCAGGGTAAGAATCTACCCTCTACAACAGTGTCAAAAAGACACTTTCACCAATCTAGAGGTGAACACACTAGGAACCATTATGGTCCAGGATGTCACGTGCTAGGATAGGACACACAAGAGATGGTGACAGGGCCACCAGAAAGGTAGACAGAGAGACAAGAAAGAGAAAATTACGTGATGAGCAGTGGTCTGGCCTGTCCATGGCCAACCCTTCAACCACAGGCCCAACACTCACATTGTTGAGGAGGCGAGATTGGTGTCTTCATGCTTCAGCTGACCATCCAGTGCCAGTCCTCGTTTATCCTTATTGTTAGCCAGAAGGGGTCGCACCTGATACACCTTGCTTAAGGTGAAGCCTGGCCCCACTGGGCACCCTGCACTGTAAGCACACTGTGAGCTTTGACCCCATAAATACCATTGTAAACACCTGATTAACTGCCATTTCTTCCACTGCAGCAGTTCATCTCGCCAAGTAAGTGTCAAAACGTATAACAGAACATACACATACACATCTCCCTCATATTATGTTGTTGTGATCCCAATCATTATGTTGATAGATTAATTATTCATTGTGGAATTGATGTGAAGAACCTGCAAGTCACCCCCCTAATAGAAAGACAGGTAAAACTACTACAAATAATAAATTAATCTTCATTTGAATGCAAACATTATACTATATATAACCAAGAACTCTACCGACAGCATAAAAATGTAATGCAGCATGTTAACTAGATCTTCTGATCAAATTCCACAAAGATGAGATAAATAATAATCTAAGATTACACTACAGATTCTCAGATAAGCTCTTATATACACACAAATATACATGTGTACTTCCAAAAATATTTTTGATGCTATGTACCACGTGCGATGGCACTTTGGCCCCTTCAATAAATTTATGGTCATAGGAAAAAAATTCTTAAATGGATAGGTTTTGTAAAAGACTTCAGAACTGTTATCCCACAACCACTAAAATTTTACAAAACATTAATCAAATGATTAGTGCTGACCATAGGTGTGTACACAAAATTTACAGATACCATCAAGAATTATATAATTTCAATAGTAAATTCTGACAATAAAAATTAATTTACTTGTGCAATTTCTCAAATAATTATAATTACTCTCCATTAACAATTTCAAAACTATTATTTATGTACTACATAATTATGATGTATGAAATATGAACTGGCACTAAAAACCCAAACATTATTATTTTTTAATATAAATTACTTACTCGCTCTCTGTTTCTGCAACCGTGCACTTGTACTGAGCAGTAGAGAAGAGACAGATATCGGCAAATTGTCGTACTGGAAACAACAAAAAAATTGAACTAACCATGCATCTCAATTAAAAAAAATATTGAACAATAAATAAATCAAAAATCATACCAGATACTTTAATTTTTTTAACTGTTCTGTTGGAGTTGTTAGCTATATGGACATTGACTGCTATGTTTTCCCCATGATGATACAGCTAGAAAACCATAAAATGGTAGAGAAGAGTCGAGATATAGTACATAAAATTATTTAAATAAAAGAGTATTAAGACAAGAAATTCATACATGTATACACATACACATATCATTTCATAAATGTTTCTGGAGGACAGACTAAATTATGGTAGTGAAGTCAATGAGTTAGAAATAGTACATCCAAAGTATTATCAGATAATTGCGTATGATTTACATAAATTGCTATCCCTAGTTTATTTGATATTTTTAAGAAATAACACAATTACATGAAATCCAAAGTTTTGTTAAAAAATTAATATTGGTTTACAAGAACATATCTTAAACATCAATTAAAATAATCTGATGACTTACCTCTTTATCTAATGAAGCTTCCAAATGCAACTTATTAGGACTCATCATGAATTCTTTGCTTACTTCTACTGATGGCTGCTCACCTTGCTTGCTGGGAGCATACATTATCTTTCGAATAGCCAATCTAACAGAATTTCTAAAACAAAAGTTCAGGAAAAGGACTTCACTACAAATGCCTCAAAAGTCCTTTATCTTTTAAGATGCCATTTTAAAAGATGGAAAACAATAACATTAACATCCTTTCAAAGTGACCACATTAACCTTGAGTAATTATAAAAAAACAAATAGATATCTTTACACGATTCAAATAGTAATCATTCAAGTAAAAATATTATTTGTCCAGAATTAAAATTAACTTTTACCTTTTGTGAGGTTTATCCTCTTGAGTTTCTCCAACAAAAGCTTTGAGCTCATAGTCTACACCACAGGGTTTGCCTGTATCACCAGGTGCTGGTTGTAATGTTACTGAAGCTGGACAATGAGGTGGAAGCTCAAAATAAAATGGGTATGCATTAGGACCCAACTTCTTTATCAGGCGTTCCTAAAAGGAAAGAAAAAGAAGAAGAAGAAAAGTCATCAATCTTTATCATTTCTGTTTTATGTTTTTGAATTTCTACTTCTCAATGAGATACGCATTGCCTTATAATATTCCCTACAATCATAAATGGAGCAGTAAAACATCGTATTATTTTAAGCAACTGATCATTGATTTCAATTGAAATTATATAATTCAATATTATAGTATTAATAATAATAATAATAATAATAATAATAATAATAACAATAACAATAACAATAATAGTTCAATATAAGTTGCACCTGTAAACGAGTGAGAGGGCGTTTAGCAGCCCCTCCCTCAGGCTGGATCAGAGGGAAGATCTGTTCCGCTGCCAGGTACAGGTCTTTACGGAAAGTGAGCCCAAGAACATCCAAGTCCTCTCGGCCATATCGAAATGCGGCCAAAACATGACCAAAGACTTTTCTGTCCTTTACATATTCTGGATCAATCAACACCACTCCATCTACAAAAGTAATAAATATATGTAACAACCTAACAACTTAAAGAGTAAACGAAATACAATTTTACCGTACAACACAAGACAATTTCAGTAGAGTGAACAAGCAGAAACACACCACACACTCACCACCCCCACTTGCCTGGACTAACATAAGCCACGAAGAGAGAGGGAATGTTCTGGCTGAAGATGTGTTTCCAGCAGGCAGATAACAACGGGTCTATACAGAGACATTATCAGCTTTAATTCATATAAACGAGTGCGAAAGCCATCGAGGTTCCACGGAAAGAGAGCCATAATTTTTAGATGTTAAATTCCTTTGCTTCTAAGGGGATATTTTCTTCCCCTTTCAACGTTTATGCCTCTGTTGCCCGAAGGGGCGAGTGTCCACCCCGGCTGAAGTTTCTTCCGAGGCAGATTTCTCCCGGGCACTGCTCGAGGGGCTAAGAGGTCGCTCAGAGCAAATTTCAGAAGTCGGGGTAGGTGGTCGGAGTTGGGGAAACTCATTTTTCCTGCCTGCTTGTCTGGGCCAGAAGGCCGAGAGACATTGGCCTTCATGCGAGGCTGAGAAGTGGATTCTACGTCCGACTTCGTCAGTGTAGTTTTCTTGGGGAATTTATAATTAGAGGAAATTGTCTTCCCACCTTGCAGAGGCGATGTCTCCTCAGGGAAGTATGGCAACTCGCTGTTGCTTTTACCGTCTTGGCCAAAGTACTAGAAAATGAAAGCCCGATCTCTACAGGGTTCTTCACTAAGTATCAGTGTTTCGCCTCAGGAAAAGAGACTTTCTCAGTCACTCGGTCTCCTTTACGGTTAAAACAGCGAAGTGGGAAGACACAGGGATCCGTATCGTGCGTGGATTTGCCGCACTTTGCGCAAACAGGGTTTACGACCATGCATCGTTGTTGGGTTTGGCAGAACATCTGACACTTGAAGTAAAGTAGGAGGTTTGGAACATACTGCCGCACGTAGAGATTATAAAACCCCACTAATCCTCTCTGACAGAGAGGGTCGATTAAACATCAGGATCACAGTGGGAGTGGTGATCTCTCCCATTTTCTTTCCTCTTGATCCTGAACACCTCCGTTACGCCCTGACTCTTAAAGAAAGGCAGACGTTCCTCCTCAATTTCGGACGCAAAGTCATCGTGATTCACAACTCCCTTACATTGGGTAAGGGAAGGGTGAGTGGTCACTTCCACCTGGAGGCCGGCATCTGCTTTTGATGATTGTTTCGATTTGCTCATCGGTGCATGCTTCGAAGAGTATGGTACAATTTCTCTGAGGCACCAGTGCTTGGACCTTACCGAAACTGTCCTCAATGGCTCGCGTTAGACGAACCGCACCAACCGTTTTCCCTTCTTCCGTGCACGCCATCATAAGAAAACGTAGCTTCTTTAGTTTATCTTCTTTTCCAAGGAAGAAACTACTCAAGTCCACTGTTCTCTAAAAAAACACCGCCTCTTCCTTCCGGAAGAGGGCAAGGGGTTTGTTTTATGCGCCATAGAATCGAAGCGGATTCATCTGCGTGCTCCCCACCCCATGGTGTCGAACAAAGGGACACCCCATTGGGTGCCAGGGTTGACATGAAGGTATAGTGGGAAGAAGTTATACAGCACTGGCCCGCAGTGGATCCGCCCGCTCACCCTGGAGTTCACAAGACCTAACCGGAGCCCATTGACAGAGTGTCTTAGCTCCCGACTGCCCGTCTAGAAGTGTCCGAGGCCAACGCAAGAGTGTCGAAAACCTAGAAGGAATATTCTACAAAATACATAAATAACGTTTCCCTATGTGCAAAGCAGAAAGTAACACATGGAGTAGTTGGGAAACAAACAGGTCACTCAACTGCCACGACACACATTCCCTCAGACACGGGTCGCCATGCACGGTAAACACATGGGCGGGTGTACAGAGTAAAGGGCGGGTGGCAGGGGTTAATGAAAAGAGAGAGAATATCAACGAACGAGAATGAACGATAGGGGAAAATACAGATTTTGCGGGCGATGGTGTAACGGTTAGCGAATCGCACTGTTATACCCATGTTGGAGGGTTCAAACCCGATCGATGCCGTGGATTTTTAAGGGCGAAAAAATCCTTCGTACCTCTTCCTTTGGAGGGGAAGTAAAGCTGGCTGTCCCATGTTAGATTTATTTGCATGTAAAAGATCCTCAAACTATATGACGCCTCGGAGCCAAATGCAAATCGCCTGTTTCGTCGCCCAAAAATACCTTCTTTCTTCGCTAGTGGGTGAAAGGAGCCTAGCAAAATTTTCGTGGTCAGATGGAGGAGCGGGCCTTATGGCCCGAGTCTCGCCACGTAAAATAAGGCATCAATTCAATTCAATACAAATGACTGGCGAAAGAAAGAAATACGTGAGAGCGGAGTACTTTACACCCCCGCCAGGACGTCCACCTCAACGGGATGAATTGGATAACAAGAGCTCGTGTTGCAGCTTTGCCCGAGAGGAAACAGACACCGACGGTTACCAGTATACTGGTGGAACGAGACATAGCTCAACAACGTCATCATTGACTGCGAGGCAGGAGGCTGTACCGCTCAGCTCGTGCCAAAGATTCCAAAGATTTGTTCAATTGCAAGAACAATATAAGTTGGCTAGAAATCAGTTGAAGACTGCAATTCGGGAAAGTAAACTTCTTTATACCAAAAACGCCTTGTGCGACGAAGTATATAAAAATGTAGGCCATGCAAGACGGTCGACGGGTCGGTAGAGGAGTTTATGAAGTCGCATACCCAGTCTCCAACCTGCCCTTACATTCTTCTAAGAATTGTGTCGGTTTTATTCCCACAGCACCCCGGCGAACGTCCGAAAACCATGCTACGTGATACAGTAATGATACCACCAGTCACTACGTTGAGCTACTGCACGTAATCAGCTCAATTGGTTACACCAAGGCTCATGGCCGGATTGTATCCCGAACATTGCCTTCATGATTGCGATATCCGATAGGAAAAAAATCCTCGCGGATCTCTACGATTCATGCCCGAGAGTAGGGATATTTCCTGAGAGATGGAAGAAACAAGTAGAACTTCTTCCATAGGGAAAAAAATCTGAGGTGCCAGCATCGTACCGACCACTGTGCATGCTCGATACCTCAGATAGATTTTCGATCATGTCATTAGCTCCAGATTGGAAGAAGCAGTAGAAAAATGCGGACTCTCAGACAACTATATAGTACGGCTTTCGCAAGGCTCGCTAAACTTCCAAATCGTTGACACTGCCCGACAGGCATATGAGTGGGAGAATATGGAAAGAAGCACGAATCGTACTGTGCTGTGGTAACTTTGGCCATTAAGAATGCTTTTAACTCAGCAAGATCGAGTGACATACATAAAGCCCTCCAGCAAATCAATGTGCCTATATACTTGAGGAGATTGTAGCTGAATATCTCAATCGCAGAATCCCAGTGTATAATCCGGTTAATGGACATACTGGTGATCCACGGATACGGATGATGGTCAACGGCTGTGGAATATCATGTACGACGAGGGTTTTAGGCTCCCACTCCCAGAAGGGAACAAGATCATAGGCTTCGCAGACGATACTGCCATAGAACGTATCTGCAGTGAAACCATTGTCAGTCCTTGGCTGAATTCCGCAGGATTCCCGCTTGCCGAACACAAGACAGATGTGATGCTTGTAACTCAAAATTTCATCGCTATCTGCGATAAAATTCCTCGGCATCATGATCGACACGCGCTTGTCTTTTAGAGACCACATGAACTATGCCAGCAAGAAAGCAGCAGTGGTGAATACTGCGTTGACAAGATTAATGCCAAAACTGGAGAACCTAGTCATGAAAAGAGAAATATGCTTGTTTCGATCGTTACATCGGTTCTGCTCTACAGATCACCCGTTTGGGCCACCTCTACAGACACGGAGTCAGGCGTTCCGGAGTCTCCAATGAAGCAATGTTTGTCATAGCCGAAATGATCCCAATTGACATATTGGGCCGTCAACGGTAAAGGCGATATAAAAAGAAAAAAACTGCTTGGTTTAACGTGCAGAATGGCAGTAGCGATGGGATACTTCAAGGGAAGGTGGCCTACCGACTGATTCCAACAAATTAATCGTGGATCAGTCGAAAAAGCACGGAGGGGTAAACTATTATCTCACCCCACTAGTGACGGGACATGGATGCTTCAGAAACTACCTTAACAGTTTCAAACTGGTTGGTACTCCGTACTATTGTGAGTGCGATCGAGGATGCCGAACACTAGTCTTTTCAGAGTCCACGTTTCGATTCTCAATGACGAGTTATCGCAGAGAGGCAGACGAATCCAGAAAACCTGGTTGCTAATATGTTTGCTTCTGAAAGCACTTGGAAGGTGGGGGATGAATTTGTACAAGTATTGCTTGAATTGGGGCGACTGGAAAAAGGAGGGAGGAAAGATTCATGATCCCACTCGTCTAAAATAAGGCTATATTAAATACGTCATGACTGGGACATTACACTATCCGCGATGTAATGCCAAAAGGCGGTTACGCGGAGAGGATGCAGAAAGGAGGTCAGATTTTAGTAAGACTCACATGCTGGTGGTATAGGCAGAACACTGCCTTTTGAAAATTTCCACCAACCCTCGTAAAAAAAATAACATCCCACCACCACCCAACAGATTAGATGTTGGGTGGTGGTGGGGTGTTATTCCACCACCATCGTATGACTGAAATGAAATTTCCGAAATTCAGAACACTGATTATAAAAATTATGTAATTCATGTAAATTAATTAAAACTAAATTAACTAAAAATATGTACTGAAGCGTTGTATCCGTGTCAAGTACTATAAACATGTGTTTCTGGCTGATTTTCATTGGGCACGTACGTTTTTTGTATTTGTTCTCCATTGGGACAACTGACGTTAATGTAATTCATAGCAAACAAAAGAAATCGAAAATACGGTGATCACATAGAGTACTTTGTTACAAGCGCTATTGCTTGGACACTTTTCACAAAATTATTTTATTTCGAAAATTTCACTACAATAATTTTGTATGATGTATTTTGTAACAAAGATATTCCACACGCACAATGTCGCTCGCAGGCTGTAACTCTGCTGTAACTGAGCGGTAAATACGAGACAGAAGAGAGGAGAGAAGAGACAGAAGAGAGGACAGAAGAAACAGAAAAGAGGAGAGAGAGAGAGGGAAAGGGAGAAAGAAAGAGAGAAAGGGGGCCAGAACGCCAGTTTTACACAACGGACTCAATCTAATGTACATTTTGATTCAAGAATCTAACATCAAAGAAATGAATTTTCCAAGTATAAATAATGCGTTGAATACCGTCAATAATTGTCTTAACTTGTGTACTTTTAATAACACAAATTCATAAAATTAAGTTACAGGTTGTTCCAGACGAAGACCTCTCAGTTCACCGCGCAGCCTTAGGCGACCAAGGCATCCACTCATTGGTTGCGCAGGAACAAAGAGTAAATGCTGTAAACGCAGTAATAGAGGCAAGAGCCAAGAGCGTGGTGCAATTCCTGGGAGAGCACCAGTGGCCGGAGAAAGCGCCAATAGGGCGTTCTTTGGTTTCAAAATGATTTCACATACATTGTAATTGTAGTAATATTTTTATAGTTTTAAATATGGAATGTCGTATATTCCTAACATATTATAAAATATTTTTCATTAACTGGGGGTTGTGCAACCGTTCAACCTTAGCAAGTGTCGCCACTGCCACAAATGGGGAACTTCGCGTAAACGCAGTTACTATCGCCTTTGCCCTCAAAGGATACAAATAGAGAGCGTGTTGCAAATGTCACCCACGTGCTTGTGAGAAATGGAAGGCGTTGCTGTGTGTTCTACGAGAACTGATCCACAGAATACGACTATGTATGGCATACACATTTGAGCTAAATATGTTTATTCTTCATGACTGTATGTTGGTAAGGCATTGGAAATTGCACATTTTTTATGAAAGTCATGACTTCTCATTACATTCAAATTTTATTTAATTGTGTTGTGGTGTGATATCTTTGGCATTTGTAAAATAATTAAAGATGTGATGACAACATCTTTAATTATTTTATTTAATTTGATTGTGATCTTTTAATACAATGTAATAATTGACAATTACAATTTTAAATTACATTTAATTTAACATCTAGTACTTGGTGTGTTTTTGTAATGCCATATTAAATCATTACTTATGAAATTGATAAATGACTTATAGTTAGAAAACATCTGTAGCTAGCAACTGCAACGACATGGCATTCGCTCTGTGGGCCCACGCAGGGCGTGCCTCCGCGGCCATTCAGAGGGTGGGGGCCGGGAGCGTCAGCGCAGGGGGATGATGTGTGACGACACCCGCCACAGCATGCAGCTGGCCCAAGGCTTCCGAATGAGAATACAACAGCGTATACCCAGCCCACCACACACCCCCACCAGACAAGCGTACACCACACACACACACCAGACAAGCGTATACACACACAACACAGAACCAGCGTACATACACACACACACACACCAGACAGCGTACACGACACCCACAACACACCAGACCCAAGCGTACACCACACACACACACACCAGACCCAGCGGTACCACACACACACACACCAGAACAAGCGTACACACACACACACACACAGACCAAGCCGTACACACACACACACACACAGACCAGCGTCACACACACACAAACAATCAACGCGTACACACACACACCACACACACCAGACAAGCTATCACACACACACACACACACCAACAACGTACCACACAACACACACCACCACACACCAGACCAAGCGTAACACACACACACACACACACACTACCAGACAGCGTAACACACACACACACACATCACAGAACCAAAGCGTCCACCAACACACACTAGACCCAGCGTACACACAACACACACACACACACCAGACCAAGGCGTACACACGACACACAACAGCCAGACAAGCTGTACACGACACACACTACACACCAGACAAGCGTACACACACCACACACACCAGACCATAGCGTACACACACACACACACACCAGACAAAGCGTACACACACACACATCACCTAGACAAGCGTACACACACAACACATCCAGACAAGCGTACACACACACAACAGCACCAGACCAAGCGTACACACACACACACCAGACAAGCGTAAACACACCACCACACACACAGACCAACGTACAACACACACCA